AAAGTCTCAGTAAGAGGAGGTCCCAGTTGTTAATTCTTTCAAGTATTACCCATGCGATTTGATTTTTGTTCATGAACTCTTTGCCTACCCGTCTTTAAGAGTTCCACCTACTTTCTCTCCCAGGAGACTTAGTGTTTCTGTTTTATTGTTTAGATCTTTAATCCATTTTGACTTTAGCTTAGTGTATGGTGATAGACCTGGGTCAAGTTTTAGTTTTTGGCATGTAGAGAGACAGTTTTTCCAGCTCCATTTGTTAAAGAGGCTATCTTTCTTCCAGTAAGCCACCTTTGCCTAAGATTACGTGGCTGAGTGTGTTTGTAAAGGGCAGGATACTGTGTGTGTGTGTGTGTGTGTGTGTGTGTGTGTGTGTGTGTGTGTGTGTCTTCAGGATGCCTTCAGGATGGGTCTGGTTTGGCTTGAGGATCTGGGGATCGAACCACAGCATCCTCAGCCTCATCCTGTATGCTCTATTGGGAGATTTTTTTTTTTTTAATTTCTCTGGTGACCAACGTGTTGGAACTCTTTTTCATGTGCTTGTTAACTATTTCCATCTTGGGAAAATATTCCAATTATTTTAGCTAGTCTTGAGTTACTGGGCCATTTGGGTAGTTGAGTGTATAAAGATGCTGTTGCCCAGACCAGCCTCAAACATGGAATCCTCTTGCTTCAGCCTCCAGCAGTGCTGGGATTTCAGGTATAGGCCACACCTTTCTTTTCTGATGTTCTTCTTTGAGGCACCCCTAATTGGGTAAGCTTTAGTTTCTCTTTCATCTTTTATGCTTTTGGTAAAAGAGTAAGAATTATCAAACTCAAGGTCTTTTTTAAAATTTTGTGTAGGATAAGGTCAAACATATAGCTATCCTGTTGTTCTACCACTTTGTGAAAACTTCACTCTCTACTAGATTTTCCAAGTATTTATCATCAGCTGACCACATGGTTTTTATTTATAGTCTTTCAGATCTGTTCTACTCATGCATCATTTTATCAGTACCGATCTATTTTATAATTTTGAAATAAATCTTTTACTGTGTTCCTTATAATCTTACAATTTTTTTTTTTTAACGTATTTGGTAGTGTCTCACTATGCAGCTCAGACTCAGTCACCCTAGTTTTCAGCCTTCCAGCCTCCCCACAGATAGCATTACATGCCTGGTCTTAGTCACCAGCTCAGCACACGGGGTGGGGGTGGGGTGTCACCCTGGTCCCTGGGCTTGCCTAAACAGGGCCAATCTTGTTTTATTTGTATTTTAGGGAAGGGTCTACAGGGTGTTCAGGGTCTCACTACTAGATCAGACTCGTAGTGATCCACCTGCTTTCAGCCTCCCAAGAGCCTGGATTATAGGCACACCCCACCACATCCCAGCCTCACTCTCAGGATGCCCCAGGGGTGGGGCCCACACAGCAGGCCCAGAATCAAACCCCCCAGCACTTGCTTGCAGCTTTAATTCACTGAGTTTTCTGACCAGCCCCCAATCCTATGACCATAGGACACATTAGCGTGGGAAACTGTTGCCTCTCAAGCAAGCTACATCTTCAGAGTTACCTGAAATTGCTGGGGCTGCCAAATAGCTCAGCAGATGAAGATGCCTGCTTAGACGGACAAAGGGGCTGGGTGTCTGATCATCCACCAGACAAGCTAGCCTGGTCCCGTCCCCGGGGAGCCTGAGACTGGGCGCGGGGTGGCACAGCTGCAATCCCAGCATTTGGAAGGCTGTAAACAGGATCACTATAGTCTGGTTCAGGAGTAAAACCTTGTACTAAATTTAAAAAAAATTTTTTTAAAGTGCTGTCTTGTCACAATCCTATTTGAAATTGTTTTAGATGCAAAATTTTATGTTAAAAAAAAGGGGGGGGATTTTTTAGCATACTGTAATCTTTGCATTTTCCCTATAAAAACACTGCTACACATCAATTCTTTTACTTAATACAGGTACTGCAAATTGAACTCATGATCTCACATTTGCCACTCGGGCACTGTGCTGCTGAGCCATACATATACCTGGCCCACAAAAATAATCTTAAGGAGCCAGGGAGATGGCTCAGTGGAATAAGTGCTTCCTTGGCAAGCACAAGGGTCTGAGTTCAATCCCTGGTTCAAAAAAAAAGTGATTTTAAATTATCTTTTGCAATTGCCAGCCTTACAAGTGCAACATCCCCAAATTTCATTCGTGGTACCTAAACAGAAAAAAACTCTTGCACCATCCTAATCCTTAGGATAGTTCTAAGTGTTCACCTACATCGTTGATAACACACAACCCTATTTGTATGGCAAACTTAGGTGTATAACACATACCTAACTCCAGTAGTCTAACCCTATGAGCCCCTATGCTCTGTAATAGCTTGTATGTTGCAAAACCCACCTTGCTTTCGCTCCAAAAGCTTGGAACCCAAAATGATTAACAAACTAAATCAAAATATTCGCTATTTTTCTGGAGGATCTGAAGTCACTCTGGGCTTCAATTTGTGATTCTCCTGCCATTCTCAACTTGACCACTGGCTACTTAAAACACTGTCCACATATGCTTGGACTACGAGTGTGAAACCACCACCAGATCCTGGTCAGATCGCCTGCTCCAAGAGCAGCTTTTCAAAACAAAAAACTCAAATCAATCAAGCTCAATGTTTCATTTTTTATATCTTCCTATATGGCTATAAAGTAATTTCAATCTATCACAAATTTCAATTTTACTTAATGAAAGGTTTAACTGGCACTGAAAGCCTCCAAATTAGTGATAAGACTCAAAAAGGAAACATATAGCCTTAGACTCCAGCCTTAAGTGCTTCCAACAACTTCTTGGAAACAAAGATTTCATTGTTTAGCCCAGGCTAATTTCATCCCAAATTGTTTTTAAGAGAAACTTAGCACCTCAAACTATACATAAACAAAAAAATATCCAGCAAGATGCAATCCCAATCACTTGTTCATGAAGTAGCCATGACTTTCTAAAACCATCATCTGTCTGATTATTTTCCTGCTTCAGCCTCCTGAGGCCTGGGATTACAGGTGTGCACCTTTATGTCCAGCACAATTCCATCATGCCTATGATCTGACCATGAAGGAGTATGCGCTTAAAAACCGTTACATTAATGGTCAGGGCAACTTTTAGGAATTGTAAAGACAGTTCTAAAATAGTAGGGCCGGGGAGATGGCTCAGTGGAATAAGCACTTCCCTGGCAAGCGCAAGGGCTGGAGTTCAATCCCCAGTTCCGAAAATAAAATAAAATACTGATGGCAAACCCAGGTTAAGTTACAACAATGAAATAAGGTCAGAGTCTGAATATGTTCAGAGTGCCAGTTTAGCAAAGTCAATCCTCAGCACCACCCAAGGGGAGATGAGGATAAACACGACAGAAAAGATACTTATTTAAAAACACAGCCAGATATTTTAATGTGTTTATTAATGGCAAATTCTCCACTGCACTTTGTACTCTTCTGGTTTCCTATACACAGCTGGCCCAGCTCCTGCCAAATAAAAGATAAAATTAATCTCAAAGACCTAAAAGTCAAAGTGAGCCACACCAAGTTCCCAAACCTAACACTGCCCGCAGCACCACCAATTGAACTTCCAATTAGTCAAAGAACTTTGATATGCACATTAGTATTCTTCTGTAGTCCCCAAAAGCAACCAGCTAAGGCAGTAACAGTAACAACATTTCCACTTACCCAGATACTTTTATCAGTGTAACAATTTGTGGCTTTCCTGCTCTGCTCATCCTGGTTGATGTCTTGAGAACAAACTATCACATCCACCTATAATTAAAAGTATTTTTACTAAATATAATATTCCAGGGGCTGGTGAGATGGCTCAGTGGTCTAAAGCACCTACTTAGAACAAGCTAAGCAAAGCAAAAGGACAGCGACCGCGGTTCAAGCCCCAGCACCACATGCCAGCCAGCCCGCCCCCTGGTGGGCTGAGCTGGCACCCCCCCCACAAATAAATAAATTTAAAAATAAATAAATAAATAAATATAATATAATATTCCAGCCAAGTGTGATTACACATGCCTATAACCTCAGTTCTCAGGAGGCTGAGGCAGAAGGACTGTTGGGAGCTTGAGGACAGTCTGACTACATAATGAGTTTAAAATCAACATGAAAGGGGTGGCGAGAGAGTTCCCTGAACTAAGCCCCTGCTTATGCAATCAAGCCCAGGTGCTTCCTTACATGTTAGGAAGCATTCCACCCCTACTGAAACCCTCACACAACTTTCAAGCATATAGATTATCTTATGAAAGGCAAATACCTGAAGACTGAGCAAATTTCACTCCACATAGCTAAATCAGATTTTAGCCTCTCAATGAAAGATGCCAAGCCCCAAATCTACTGATGTTAAATTTCTAAGGACACCTACTTCAAGTGAATGAGCAGTCCTCATCAGCCAACATCAATCATTGTTACCTAAAGAATAATACAAAAATGTTAATATAAGACAAAGGCTTAAGATAAGTTTGAAAATGCTAGTTAACTTTAAAGAGTAAAATTCCAGAGACAAAAGATTGGGATAAGTTATAGCATAAAAAACAATAGAATGAAACTTCATGGGTGGGTGGGGGAATCTAAAATCATTCTAAGTAGACACTAGAATTAGAATGAAAATTGTATCTTCCTTAAAAGGCAAAAGCCTAACCCTACTTTCACCAGTCTGAGCACAGTGAAGTTTTGACTGCAATCCAAAATATACTATCCCTTATGTGAAGGTATGTGACAACGTTTACCTCACCCAAAGGAGTTTTTATGAGTTCTCTTCATATGAAAGTCCATACCCTGTTCCCCCATTCAGATATGTCTTCCATGTTCGGTGGGCTAACCACCTTCAGCAGGAGTCCTCCCATTGTCCTTTCACCCTTTTCCCACAGTACACACACTGCAGATATTGCCCTGCAATCCTAATGTACTGCCTCACACTTCTCCTTTCAAGTCCTGAACTTTAAGTTAGGGTAAGAAAGCCATGCCTTACTGGGACAGCAAGGAACCCATGTCTTTCAGAGGGAGAAAGACATTCACCTTCACTATATGCCTAGCAGGGCCACAGTGCACAAAAATATTCCAATAAGCCTTAATTCAAGTTCCCAGTATTTCTTCCTCCGTGTACCATTACTGCCACAGCTACATGAAATAGAGCTCCCTGTTGCACATGTACCATCATAAGGGATACTATATCGTTTTGCATTCTTTTCCCCATTCTCCAGATTACTCTTACTCTATTCTACGTCCAGCCCCCATATTTCACTCTCAAAAAACAGAAACGTTTCAGCACTGGTGTTCAAATGCAACTTTTGTTTGGTCTATCAACAACTGTGACATTTCCACAGTCTTAAAAATTGCAAATCATTATCTAGCAGCAATGACAGATGATTAGAAACAGTCAAATCCTCAATTCTTTCCCTAATAGGCAGCCATTTGAAAACTGCACTAGCTGACAGCACTGAAACATGATCAGTTAAAGCCAAAACCAAGTAAAGGCCCAGAACAAACACCCCATCTCTCTAAAGCCTGTCCAAAATCATTGAGGAAAAGGCAGTAAATGCAGGACTGTGTATCTTGTCACTGCAGCTGACAATGATTAACAATAGGAGACATGCAACCCCCATTAAGGTTAAAAGTCCAAAACTAGTCACACGCATCTCTATTAGGGAGAGACTATTATGCAGTCTTTGTAGATTTGCAACCTTGCATCAAGAGTACCCATGGCATTTCTTTCATCTTTCAGAAAGCACCGGTATCTGTTCCAAGGGCCTAACAGTACGAATACATTCTGACATCACACCTCTGAACTCACTCTTCCCATTGAAAACAATAATTTTTGTTTGTAAAAAAGGTTATGAAATACAATGCAAGCACCTCAATATATCATTACTGAAATCCACTTAATTCCCAACTTTTTGATTAAATGCTTTGTAAGAAGACACTATACTAAGCATCACAATTTATAGCTACATAGAAATTTTAACTACTGAGTCAAATGGCTTCTCATTCTGAAGTGTAGTAACCTAATCTTGAAGCAGACCAAAGCAAAATTAACTCCCACCCCAATGATATTCCTTATACATTATACCAAGTACATTCTCTTTCATTTTTAAATCTCTAAACCACGGCAGCAAGTACTGGCTGCCGATTTATTTAAAGAATTATGACCCTGCAAAGTTCCCATCAGAGTTCTATGCAATTTAGTGACACTAGTGTCACTGACAATGATCACTGCTTGATTTGCATTACAGTAATATATGGAGAAGCTAAACTCATCACCATTAGCTCTTTAGAGAATAAAGTTGTTCACTTGAGTGGATTACAATTTGAATACAAATGTCCCCACCTTGTAACCTGCTTGCCAAAGAGCAAGCCATTTTTCTTGAAATGAAAGAAAATTCTGTCATCAAATTTTCACCGGCATTTATGCAAGATAAACCAACTTTTTTATTAGAGCAGAAAGCATTAAATCTAAAAGCTGTTTCTCATGCATGCTAACTAAAAACCAGCTCAGAAACCAAAGTGGAATTGAATTGAGGTCTGACAGTTTGATGCAAAGCTTGTTTTAAAACAAGAGAAAGTGTGTATCAGAAGACTTGTTTTCTTGTCATTAAGCATTTTGGACTGTAACATCACATCCCTAAGGCTAAGGGAACCAAGTTCAAAAAACTGCTCTGAACAAGTACTGTCATTCTATAAAATACGACGAAGTCTTGTAACTGGGAATGATTCCAACATGTAATCAGCTAAAAGCAAGTCAATGTTTCATACCACTTTCCCCAGATTTAGAGTATAAACATTTTGAGACAAGTCACATAACCTGAACTATTCACACCGGATTCCCATCTAAGCCCATTAGTAACAAAGGTGTCCATTCCCATAAAGCCCATGTTTGAAAAAAATCTCCAATCACATTACAAGAAAAAAAAAAAAAATCCTGCAGTTCATCTTAATTCACTCAACTTACAGAATTGTTACCAAGATTGCACAGTGAAATTATTAGTATTGCTGACCTGCAAGCAGATCAGCTTGCTACCAGAGACTAATTATCACATGCTATACAGTCCGTGCTAGGGTGCTAGAAGCACCCTAATTTCAAAGTATGGTTTGGTTCCCTCACCCCCATGCCACTGGTGTTCCATGTTATCTTCAGTTACAATGCAACTAAAGAAAAACCACACAACTGAGTTAGATATGCCAAAGAATCAGAAGTTTGCACTTTTTATCTGAGAACTACAAGAGCACTGAATTCTGCCTAACAAATTACAACTCTAACCCCAGACCCACGCAGTTTTGATGTAAGCTAACTTTACCATACAAGTGTTAGGTGCTGCACTGTAATTTCATGGTCAGAAGTGTGATGTCAGAATGCCCACGGATAAAAGTACATAGCAAGTCACCAAGTTAGATTATATTGCTTGTTACCTACCTGTATGCAGTCGGCAATGAGAATCTTGGAGCAAGCAGGAATACTACATCCGGGTCCTAATGTCCATTGCCATTTGCGGTACTACGTTCCTCACAGTTACGCACTGCAGAAATGCTGGCTAAATGCAGTTATGTAGCAGGCCACTACTTTAATAGTGCATAATTGCAGTCCAAGAACACCGCAAGACATTCTGCCACACCTTGGTGGCTTGCCCAAGCCAAGTATCTAAGTTTTTATCTGCCATTAAGATGCCACTTGTAAGAATTGCACAGGCGTAACATTACAATTTCCCAAATCATTGTATGTTTATATTAGTGGTATAAAAAGACATCTATAGAGTGGTGGTGTTTATCACACCTCTTAAAGGAGCTTAATTAATGTTCTAGGCAAAAAGAATTATGGTTTTACTAAGTAGTTCGAGCCAGTGGGTTTAAGTTTATAATACACCTATTAAATACACTAGTGTCTTAGGAGAATGCAGTTTTAAAGATTAGGAAAGTTCTTTAAAAAGAGGGTTCCTCTGAAACAGAGAAGAGGAGGAAATAGGGGTAGGTGGTCTCTTAAATGAAGAAAAAAAAATGGCTAAAATATTCAAAATTATCTTCCCTCTCCCACCCCAAGTTTCACTGTCAACTTTTAGAAAATGTCATTATTTAAATTCCCATTAGACTAAAAGCTGTTATGTATATACATTGTAACTTACTGCAAATCTATGAGTAGCTTACAACCTTGGAATACTGCTGTTTTAGTGATGAAAGTCAAATGTCAGTGGAAACTAAGCAACATTATTTGCTAAACCAAGTTTAGCTCTCTACAGCCCACAGAAGGCTATCAAAGCCCCAACTTTCAGCAGATTATCCATTAGCATCCTTCACCACTCTTCAAAGGTACAGTACTACCAAAAGCTTATTTTAGGGGTCTGTGTCAGCATCCCTTATAAAGAAAGGCATGTAATCTGAAAAATAAACTGAAACATTAATTTTATAGGCAGACTTCCCCATTTCCCCTCCAGCCCCCCCACCCACATACATTCACAAGTTCACCCTTGGGTGTCTGATGAACACCCCTACTTGTATTATCATTCTTAAAGAGTTCCTCCTGAACAGTTCAACCAAATTGTAAAAGACTCCCTTCAAAATGAGACCCTTATTTCCATACAGAAAAATCTTGTATTACCAATTATTATGACTTAGGGCAAAACTTCCTCATTGATATAATTATGGAAGAACTACCCATTTCCAAGTGTGAATAGAAATTAGCATTTTCTAAGGAGATTCTTTTCCTTAATTAGCACACCATGTGCCTATCACACAACCAGAATTTGGTGACATGCTTTTTATATTCTACTAGAGTTTCCCATTAAAGTACTATCTTGTTTCCTATAAAGAAAGTACTCAATAGGTCTCTCCTTTTGTACTCAGGCACAATACTACTAAACTTCAGCATATTAAGAAAGATTTCATTTATAATTTTTCTTTGGCCAATTACCACCAAGAACAATGTGCAAAGGATGAAGGCATTCTACAGTCCAATCTATGATGTACAGACTTGAATGGAAACTTAACTAAAAACAAAGCCAAACCATTCAATTTCTTTAGCTTCTGTTAGGAAGTCTAACTTTACACGGGGAAATCAAGCTCCCATTGTACACAGACAACAGTAACACTCTTAACAGTGAATCAAAAAGTCTCTTGTTCTAATGGAAGGAGATTCAATGAAGTTGACAATTAACTGACAACAGCATCGAAACATCCTAAACTTTTGAGAAAGGAGTGTTTCCATTGTGCAGCATGATCAACTCTTCAGATTTAAGCTATAACCCCCACCCAAGAGTAAAAACAGGTATGGCAATCTTGAGGCTGTGTGTTAACAGCCACCACTACCTCTAAGAACCTATAGCCTTTCATAATCCTGTGCATTTTGCCCAACAAAAGTAGCGCAGAAAGATAGTTAATAGAATGCAAGTAGACCTAAACCTACTTTTAAAATTAAATCTTATGCTCAAATTGTTTCTCAGACTAAACTCCATTGTTATAATTACTTTGAAGTAATACATATGAAGGCTTTATGTTTAACAATCTTTAATTCAAATGTAAAAGTTCAATACAAGCCATATGTAGGGCTTGGGATTTTTTCTTTTAAAAACAAGAATGGGGAAATGCAACAAAATGGGTCTTTCCACTGTTCAAAAACTTTCAAAGAAAGGATAGATCATAGTGCCATAAAGGATGCATTTAACCAAACCCACTTTCA